GACCACGTTGTCTTCAACTCCCTTCTTCCTTTCATTCTTCCCCCTTCTCCCTTTCCCCCTCTCCTCCAAGCCTTCCCCCTTCCCTCCCTTCTCCCTCTCCCCTCCTCCCCTCTCCTTCCCCCTACCCTCCTCCCTTTCTCCCTTCCCCCCTACCCTCCTCCCTTTCTCCCTTCCCTCTCATCTCACCTCCCTACCCTCCTCCCCCTTCTCCCTTCCATTTCCCTTCCCTCCCTCCCCTGCCCTCCCCTCTTCCCTCCCCTCCTCACCCCTTTTTCTTTCCCTTAGACTCAGGCGGCTTCAGAGAGCAACATCACCGCACGGAGCACCACTGGAATATGTGTCCGTCGCGCGTTGAATTCTAAACCAACTTGATTACTTCGGTGTAGGTGTATCTGAGGGGAGGGAGGGGGGCTGAGACGGATGGGGGGGTGAGGGGAAGATGAGAGGGACAAGGGGATAGAGAGATGGTGGGGATGAGGGGAATTGGGGAGGGGGAGGGGGACGAAGAAGGGAGAGGGGAAAATGAGGGGGAATAGAACGACGGGGGAGTGAGAGAGAGGGATGGGACGGAGGGATAGAGGGATGGAAGAGGGGAGAGGAGAGGAGGGGAAAGGGAGGAGAAAAGAGGATGGTGGGGTGAGGGGATGGAATGATGGCGGAATAAGCGAAATGGGGAAAGAAGGGCGTAAGATGAGGGAGAGAGATGTATGAAGAAAGGACAGAGGGAATAGAGCGACAGCATTCACAACCATTCCCAAGAGTCCTCATTGGCTCCTAGAAAGGGAGAAAGGGAGAAGGAGAGAGGGGGAGAGAGAGAGAGAGAGATGAGAGAGGAGGAAGAGAGAGAGAGAGAGAGGAGAGAGAGAGAGAGAGGAAGAGACAGAGAGAGAGAGAGAGAGAGAGGGAGAGAGAGAGGAGAGAGGTGGGGGTGAGAGGGGGGGTGGAGAGGGGCGGGAGGGAGGGAGGAGGGAGGGAGGAGGGAGGGAAGAGAGAGAGGAAAGAGGAGAGAGAGAGAAGAGAGCGAGAGGGAGGAGGAAGAGAGGGAGAGGAGAGTGAGACGGGAGAGGCGAGAGATGAGAGAGAGCAGAGAGAGGAGAGAGAGAGAGACGATGAGAGAGAGAGCAGCAGAGCGAGAGAGAGAGAGAGAGAGAGAGAAAAAATAAGAAAAACAAAA